TCTCACTTCTATTATATATATATATATATATATATATATATATATATATTAATAAGCGGAATAGCTAACGTGTGTAACGGTCAGTTTTTGAGGAGGAGAAACACATTTGGTTTTGATTTTGCTGAAAATGCGGATGCTTTTTTTTTCGCTTGTTTGATAACGGCTGGAGAAAAAGAACAAATATAAATGAGGTGTCTTTTCCTGTTGTGAGTTTTCGACTTTTGCAAGCGCAATGCACGTATTTGCCATTGCTGACATTCGACTTCATTTGTTTTTGTTTTGTTTTTCTCTTCTTCTCCCTCGTTTGATGTGTCCCGTGGCGAGGGGCAACGGATGATGGTTGCGCGAGCGTTGACTCGGAGACCTACACTGGCGCTCACACTGGTGTGTGCTTTGCTCATGGTGAATGAATTCCTTCTCCACAGGCGTTGATGAGAAAAGAACCAAAGAAAGTCCAAACTTTTCTGTTGTTCTTCATCGCTAAGCGAAAGCAACGCGTTCGCTTCATCATGCGGGGGCTCTCTCTCCATACAAAGGAATGGGCGAGCTGGCACACCTTGAGAAAACAGAAAATCACGAGCGAACTCACAATCGTCTCTGTAGTGCTGAAAGCCGCTGAGGTCTGTAGGGGGTGTCATTGAGGCTTCCAGTCCCTGCAAGAAACGCGGCTTTTGTGCTGCTTGAGAGCATATAGTGTTCCGCCTTCTTTTTTTTGTTTGAAGAAGAGGCTCATGACGATGTCCTATGAATGCCACCCCTCGTAGTAAATAGCTGCGTCGTACTTCTCTTTCTTTTCCTCCTTCTTTATTCTTCGCACCTTGGCGTCCAGTGCTCGAACCCCAAACGCGCGCTTCCTCGCCTTAGAAAAAGAGTTCTTAAAAACTATCGTTTACACACAGCCAGATGCCTGCCATCTTTACGCCCGTTGCGTCGCTCAAGGGCCAGAGCGTCGCCTCCGCCACGCAGTTCTCGCGGGCTGACATCGACGCCTTAATCCAACTGGCGCTCGACATGCGGGCCCACATTGAAGCGGGCAACACCATCGACGCGCTGCACGGTCGCGTGATGACGCCGCTCTTCTTCGAGGACAGCTCCCGCACCCTTTCCAGTTTCTGCGCCGCGATGATGCGCCTGGGTGGCAACGTCGTGAACTTCAAGGTGGAGACGTCGTCAGTGAACAAGGGCGAGACGCTGCAGGACACCGTGCGCACGCTGGACGCGTACAGCGACGTGCTGGTGCTGCGGCATCCGAAGGAGGAGGCGCTGGAGCAGGCCATCGGTGCCGCCACGCACCCGGTCATGAACGCCGGCAACGGTGCGGGGGAGCACCCCTCGCAGGCGCTGCTGGACACGCTGACCATCCACGCCGAGCTCGGCGCCGTCGACGGGATCACCATCGCCCTGATTGGGGATCTCAAGAAGGGGCGCACGGTGCACTCCTTGCTGAAACTGCTGACGCATAACTTCGACCTCAAGAAGGTGTACCTGGTGGCCCCGGCAGGGCTGGAGATGCCGCAGGAGGTTCTGGACCACGTGTCGGCCGATGTGCAGCGGCGCGGGATTCAGCTGGAGCAGGCTGCTGGTCTCACACCGACGATTGTCGGCGACTGCGATGTGCTCTACACAACGCGGCTGCAGAAGGAGCGCTTCGAGGCGTCCGCAACCGGAGACGCGGACGCCATGGCGGCTTTTGCGGCGGCCAAGTCGGGTCTGCTGATCGACAAGGCGCGTCTTGCGGACGCCAAGGCGAAGATGATCGTCATGCACCCGCTGCCCCGTGTGGACGAGCTGAGCGTCGACGTCGACAGCGATCCCCGTGCGGCGTACTTCCGTCAGATGCGCTACGGCCTGTTCATGCGCATGGCCATCCTCTTCAGCGTCCTGGCATGAAAAAGGAATAATAAAAGAAGAGAAAATGATCAAAAAAAGAAGACGTTGTCGCGTAGCCGGCGCTGTCACAGTGTATTCCTGGATAAGGAAACGGTGTGGCTCTATATGAAGCTGCAGCGGGTAGCAGTAAAAAGCACGACGGTGGCGGAGAAATTGCGGCCAAGTTGATGGTCGTTCTCCTCCGCTGTCATTTCTCCGATACACGAGTTTATCAATAAACAGCCCAGCTATATATATATAATTCAAGTTGCTAATTATGACACGAATCCTCAGTTCTCTTTTCCTTTTAAAAGTTGGAGCGTGGACTCGCTTAGGTGGCACATGGAGGGACCCCAACACGCACGATAGAGCTGACGCTCTGCACCATTACACTATGCGGCGGAGAGGGTTCTCTTTAATTTGCTGAACGAGTTAATCAGCTGTCTTTCAAAGATAAAATAACTAAACGAATGAAATGACAATAACGGGGAAACCTTATCAGGCTGGAAAGAAGGACAAACATAATTTATTTTGCGTCTACTGTCTTCCTTCCGTCTGATACAGTCGTTTTCACCCTTCTTCCCCCATGCGTAACAATCAGCGTCGCCTATTACGTACCTGCCTTGGCGTCACCGCTGAGAAGAGCCAAAAAAAAAAGGCCAAGCATGCGAAACCAAACTTCTCTTCCAACCGGCTGAGAAAACGCCGTTTTGCATCGCTCGACGACATGCGCGACTCTTACGTGCTTAACGATTTCGTGTGAGACCAACAACAACAACAGCAACAACATCAGCAAAGATCCCCTGTCCCTTATTCCGTACTGCGGTCAAACGATTGAAAGCATTTGCGTTCATCTATCTCGCCTTGTCTTTTTTTTTCATGTGAGTACCAGATGGCGAATGCAGTGGGAAGCGACTCTGTGCGGAAGGGCGTTCTACACGCCTGCGCCGCAGCCGGTATTCTTCGATACCTCTGCAACTCATTCTGCGATTCATTTCCTCTCTTTGCTCTCCTCTATTAAAAAAACACGTCTGTTGGACAAGTGAGATAGATCCCCACCAACGAGCCACTATCCCTTTTTTCTTCTTCCTGCTGTTCTTCGTCTGTTTCAGCAGCTCGCTGCGCTCTTACCAACAAACTTGTTCAACGCGTATTGTGTCGACGGAAAGCTCCGCCTTTCATCGTACCCACAGCCCACCTAAACACACAGCGAAAATGAGCCTTCAGGTGAGCCTTCTAAACAACACCTTCGCCAACCCGTTCATGAACGCGGCCGGCGTGATGTGCAGCACCACCGACGACCTCGTCGCCATGACGGAGTCGGCGAGCGGGTCTCTCGTCTCCAAGAGCTGCACCCCCGCGCCGCGCGAGGGCAACCCGTCTCCGCGCTACAAGGATCTCCCGCTCGGGAGCATTAATTCGATGGGGCTGCCGAACAAAGGCTTTGACTACTACCTCGCCTACGCATTGAGTCAGCACCACTACGGCGCGAAGCCGCTCTTCCTCTCCATGTCGGGCTTCTCCGCCGAGGAGAACGCGGCGATGTGCGAGCGGCTGGCCGCCGTGGCGACGGAGAAGGGCGTCATTTTGGAGTTGAATCTCTCCTGCCCGAACGTGCCCGGCAAGCCGCAGGTGGCCTACGACTTCGACGCCATGCGGCGGTACCTGACGGCCGTCTCGGCGGTTTACCCGCATCCGTTTGGTGTGAAGATGCCACCGTACTTCGACATCGCGCACTTCGACATGGCCGCCGCCGTCCTAAACGAGTTCCCGAAGGTGAAGTTCGTTACCTGCATCAACAGCGTGGGTAACGGCTTAGTGATCGACGTGGAGAGCGAGACGGTGGTGATCAAGCCGAAGCAAGGCTTTGGTGGGCTGGGTGGTCGCTACGTGCTGCCGACGGCCCTCGCGAACGTGAACGCCTTTTACCGCCGCTGCCCGGAAAAGCTCATCTTCGGCTGCGGCGGCGTGTACTCGGGCGAGGACGCCTTCCTGCACGTTCTGGCTGGTGCGTCGATGGTGCAGGTGGGTACGGCGCTGCACGAAGAGGGCGCCGGCATCTTCGCGCGGCTGTGCAGTGAGCTGCAGCAGATCATGGGGAAGAAAGGCTACAAAACGCTGGACGAGTTCCGGGGGAAGGTGAAGACGCTCGAGTAGCGGAGGTGAAGGAACGGAGAAGCAGAGGGAAGGGGATGGAGAGAGAGAGAGGTGGCTCTCGCCTGCTTCCTGTGCCTTCTCTCTTTCACTTTCTCGTTCTTTTCTTCAAGACACCGCCCAACCCCTTCCCCCCTCTTCCCCAGGCCACGTTGACGGCCTGGAGGGTCTTTATATCTAGCTATAATTAAAGCAGTAACGAATAAAAACAGGACTTCCGCAAGTGCGGCCGCTTCCCCGGGGGTGAATTCTTTAGCAGCAAAGCCGGCAGAAGGAAAACAATGAGCGCTATTTCGGCCGAGAGAGAAGCGGGGCACGCATTTGGTGCCAGGTGTGGCTGCCTTACATGCTTGAACTCACCGTTGAGTCTATTTTCAGTTTATTATTATTAATAAAGCTGTTTAACCGGACACCCCTTTTTTTTTTGCCAATCATTTCCGCTTAGGCCAGCGGCTGATAGCGACGTGTGTTACTATTATTATTATTATTGTTTGGAGAACGCCTTCGCTTATCCGGTCGTAAGGGAGTTTCCTGATAACGGTGCTACGTTGAAACGAAGAAGAGGAAGAAAATGGAGAAGGACAACCTTTCATACGTTTAGCACATGAACGCCTCCACAACAATTCGATGACCTATATATACGATGTTTGTTATTTAAAATATGCGTCGTACACTCCACCTGCGTTTCGTAGGTGTGGAAGGATACTTCAGCTTTGTCTGTCCACGTGTCGCAATAAAGCAGCAGAGGCTTTCTCCGTGCCTTCCATGCGGTTCTCGACTGCGTGTGTGCGGTCTCGTCGCCCCACCTGCGGTAAAAGAAAAAAACAACATCCATTCTTGTTTTCTCTTTCTCTTCGTTTCATTTCACGTTTTCTCCCATGTGTCCTTCTGAAAAGGAAATACAAGGACGCAAACAGCAGTCGAAGAAGTGCGCGCACTCAGTACAGTATTCGCCTCTCCCTCCCCCTTTCCTTCTAAGAAAAATAAAAACCGTAGCAGCTTCGGAGTGTCCACGCACCGCTTCGAGTAGGATAGCCCCCCTTTTTTCATTTCCCGTATATCTAGTACCCTCCTTTTGACTTCTTTGTTGTCCCTCTTTCCACGTCAGCCATGCGTCGTCTCGCTCCCAGCTCCGTGGTGTACGTGGCGCTGCAGGCCGCACGTGCGGTGCACAGCGTCGCCGTGCTGCAGAACGCCTCCCCGGCCACCGTTGCCGAGAAGTTGGGCAGCCCGGTGCCGAAGGAGGCGGTGGCAGCGGCGAATAAGGTGCCCGCTGCCATCCTGGAGAAGGCGTGCAACCCGCGTCTGGTGGCGTTCACCGAGATGGACCTCGCCCGCGCTCGCTTCGCCCCCCTCATCGCATCCATCACCGCGGGCATGGACTTCAACCACGTGGAGCACCAGGTGGCCAGCAAGTTCAACGCTGATAAGAGCAAGCTGATGCCTGTCCCTGGCGCTCTCAAGAAGCTGCGCGAGACGCAGTGGAAAGACATGGCCGCCGTCATCACCTTCTACGAGGAGACGATGTACCCGATTCGCATGAAGCACAACGAGTACAAGGACTATGAGCTGACAAGCTTTCACATTAAGGATGTACTGAAGCGCGGCCTCACCGCCTTCAAGCAGGACTTCCTGGACCAGCAGAAGGCGGAGCTGACAAAAGTGAAGGCGAGTATGAAGGCCTGCGACGACTTCGTCCACGCCGCCGTGGTGGACGCGCTGGACACGGCGATCTGCAACGATATCGCCAATATTCTGCGCATCGCCGGCGAGCAGCACCCCCACGCCCACCGCATGGCGCTCAAAATATTAGACGACATGAACATGATGAAAATCCCGTACAACGCGGCGACGTGCGAGATTCTGCAGGCTACCACCTTCAACGACGGACCCTTCGATAACTCCCCGCTGCTGTTTGAGGTGATCGAGTACCCGGAGCGTGGCGAGGTCACCATCGGCGCGGGCTCGCTGGAGAGCATCAGCGGCGATATTCTGAAGCTCATTAGCAACCGCCACCAGACCCCACTGGACGACGGCGTGCTTCTGCGATCGACGGAGACGCACCCGAACTTGCAGCGCTCGCCTGAGTAAGGGAGGGAAGAGACAGAGAGGGGTGTAGGAGAAAGAGGCGGTACCCAGAAAGGAAAAGAAAGGTGCTTGCGAAGAACCGATGTCGCTACAGAGCGAAACAGCTCTTTTTGTTTCTGTATGAAGTGCCGGCTGCTGAGTGGCGTTTCCTCCTTTTTTTTGTTCTTAAAGGTGCCACTTCTTTCCTTTCTTCGTTCCCTCCTCGGGTGGATGTTGACCTGCTCTCTGAGCCAAACCGTGCATCGTTGTCCTGCTGTCCCATTCCACACGATATAAGCGTTTATCTTTACCCCTCTTTTTTTGGTATACGTTTTTACTGGCGCAACACGTATCGGGTATCTGCGCTGAGCAGTCCTGCTGAATAGGGTGATTTGTTTTTCTTTCTTCTTCTGCCTTCTTTTGGTTGCTTTCGCGTGTGGGTGTGTGTTTGGCCCCCACGTGTCGTTGTCTCTTTTGAAATTGATATTATGATCTCCTTAGGTACCTTAGCGTCGTGGATTACCTTCCCAGTACTTACATATATATATATATATATATTTATATTTTTACATTAGGAAGAAGCACCATCACCACAAAAGAAAGCACAAAGAGGTGGCGCTGGCCGTCTGCGCTACGACCGCCTTTCTCTTTGCTGTTGCTCTCGAAGTGCTTCACTGTAGTAGCTTACACATTTTTTTTTCCCCAGTTTCTGTTTGCATTGGTTTATGCGTTTCCAAGAAAGTTGCGTGTGCGTGTGCGTTCACTTGTGCAGACGCCTGCTGTGGTCTTCTTATCTGGTTTGGTTTTGTTTCCGCCGCCTTTTTTCAAGGCGTGATGCAGCTGTCTCTCTCCCCCGTGGACAGGGCTGAGGTGGAAGCGTCTCAGCACGTAGACGAATCGCCATAGACACACACACGCACACGCACACGATGTCACCGCACGTATTCGTTTTTGTTTTTCTCTTTTTTTGTTTGTTTCTCTGACCACCTTTAGCCGAGTTAAAAGAGCGCAAAACACAGCTTATTTAAAAAGAAGTGCGGCACGCAGAAACACGCTGCAACGTATAGTGCTGCTTTACGAAGCTTCATGCCCCCGCCCTCCTCCCTCCCTCTGTTGGGTTTTTTTTTTCGCTGGAACGCAGAGGAGTTACGCCGACTGCGTCCATTCGTCTTGGCGTACGTTCCTGCACCCTTAATGTAGAAAGAAGCAACGCTTCTCTTTGCGACCCGCGTCCACACTGCCGTTTCTTCTTCTCCTCCTTCCTCTCTACTCGGCTCTTACTCATCCGCCATATATATGTATTTCCATTTCACCGCATCGCAGTCACTCGGGGTTTACTCCTGGCATTTGCGTACAACTGCCTATCTAAGGATACGCATAAAACGGTTACGGCGTCCGCCCCGTCAGGAGTCGCCGGCCAGCAATTCAAAAAAGAAACAGCAGGGAAATCTCAAAGGACAAGGCGCAGACAATTCTTCGTTCTCGTTTGCGAGGCACTTCCTCCGCATTAGAGAAAGAAAAGACAATACAGCGATCCACAGCAAAGGAAAACATCAGCAGCATCATCACGATACTAAAAATGGACTTCACATTCCCGTCCTTTACGCGGGCGAGCACCGATGCGCCCGTGCCGCAGCCTCCGCAGAAATCCCTGCTGGAGCTGGTGGTGGCCGCGAAAGGGCGACTGGGGCTGGTGCCGCAGCGCACCCCGGAGAGGCGCATCCCGGGTGCATCCTTCAGCGCCTTCTCCGACAGCGACGAGGAAGGCGAGGGAGCAGCGGAAGGGAGCACGGCGGCGGCAGGCGACACAACGGCGGTGCTCACCACCCGCACCGCCTGGGTGCCACCGAACCATCTGCTGGACTACTTTTTCTCTGGTCCTTTTATGCAGTCTTTCCTGACCTTGCACGGCATCTCGTCCTCGCGCCCGGCGGCCATGCTGGCGCCGCCGCTGCTGACGGTGCGGGATATGCGCCTGCACCCCGTCGTGGAGGCGGCGCTGTGTGCTGCTCTTCAAGCGACGAGTGCGGCATCACGTAATACGAGTAGCGGAGGTGGTCGTGGAGGGCGGGGCGGTCGGGGTGGTCGCGGGCGTGGCGGGCCGCCACGAAGCAGCAGGGGCGCTCCCGACTGGAGTGGCCGCAGCGGGTACGGAGGTGGGGAGGCAGAGTTTGTGCGGCGAGACGACGTCGCGATGTCCTGTGCCACGAACTTCAGCGCTTCGTCTTCTTCAGTCGTCCCGCTGTGGGAGGTGGCGAAGCTGGAGCAGTTAAAGGATGCTGTGTTCGGCGATGCTGTAGGCGACCTGCAGCATCAGCAACCGCCGCCGCAGCATGATGATGGCGGTGACGTCGAGGAGGAGGTCAAGGAAGACGAGGAAGACGGCGCATCAGCTGACCGCGCCACTGCCGCTGCCGCCGCAACTGCGGTAGCGAGGGCAGCGAGCGGCAGCGCGGCGGCGGCGCAGCGGGTACTCTTTCGCGGGCTTCAGCAGGTGGCACTGCCCGCGCTGCTGCTGGGCGATCATGTACTTGTGAGCGGACCGCGCGGGGCCGGCAAGCGCACCGCTGTTTTATTAGCCGCCGCGGCGAATGTGCTGACGTTTGGCACCGCCGCTACCACCGCCGCTGCATCCGCTGTGGTGCAGGGCGGCGACGCCGATGAAGAAGAGGAAGCGCGCGAAGGCGAGGAGAAGAGAACGGCGACGAATTCGGATGAAGTCGAGATGGAGAGCAACGCGGGTAGCGACACCAACCGCAACACGGCTCAAGTGTCGGTGGATCGAGCAGCAAAGGAAGAGGTAAAAGAAGAACCGAAGGAGGTGGTGAAGGGCGAGGACGACGGAGTACCAACGCCCCTCCTATCGCAAAGCAGCAGTTCTACTACAAAAGCGGACACTGCCCCGCGTGCGTTGTTTGTGGTCTCGAGCTACCCCGACGTGCACGCGATGGCGCAGTGGCTGGAGAGCGTCTTCGGCCCGGAGGCTTTTGTGCCGTACACATTCCAAGAGGACGACTGTGCACTGCGGCCGCTGACGGAGAACGCAGGGCCAGCACCAGCAGCACCAGCCATGGAGCGAAGAGACTACGCAGCATTGGCGGTGCCCGCTGTGGGCGGGGTGCTGAGTAGTCCGGCCTACCTGGCCCCTCCCACGGCGGTAGAGCCGCTGCCTTTCATCGCGGATGTCACGCGAACCGCGGAAGCGATGATGCCCAGCGATCCGACACAGGCGGGCGGACCGATCTTATTGGGCGCCGTGGGCAGCGTCCTGGGTCTCGGCGACGGTCCAAACCTGTCCGAGTTGGCCGCCTTGGTGCAGGGAGCACCGCTGCCGTCGCATCTGCTCGCCACGCCTGCACCGAGAGGGAAAGAAGAGGGCGAACAAATCTCCCGTGAGGCACGAAAGCGCCGTCGGCGCACATCGACCTCCTCCGCGTCTTCGCGGTGCAGCGACGATGATCGCAACCGCGCGCACCGGCGGCACGACGACCGGCGCCGCCGCCACCACCGACGCGAGACGGCGGGCCACGAAGAAGCAGACAGCGGTGTGGATGATGTCGCTGACGACCGCCGCCGCCGCCGCTGCCGTGGGGACCGACGGAGCTCGCGGGACCGCCACGCATCTTCCGCCTCTCGCGTCAGCCGCAGCGATCACCACACCTCTCATCATCGCCGACGTGGTGGCAGTCTATCAAGCGACGACGACGACGCAGAAAGCCGCCGCCGCCACAGCCGTCACTCGTACCGCAGCAGTCGGCATGACAGAGAGGGCGAGGAGAGGCGTAGCACCGGTAGCAGCGGGCGGCACCACCGTCACTACCACAGCAGCAGCAGCCGCAGCAGCAGGCATCGGCGCGGGCGGCGCCACGACGATGATGATGACGACGCAGACGAAGCAAATGAAAGGCACCGTCGCGGCTCAAACGGCGATTCGCAGCGTCACCGCCGTCACCATCACCGCGGTCGAAGCCGGAGCCACGGCAGCGAGGGGGAGGACGCAGAGGAGCAAGAAAAGAAGACGGCGGCTTCGTCTTCCTCCTCGCTGTCGGTAAACGCCGAGGCAGGCTCGGTACATCGCACTGCTGCGGCCCTTGCTATGCCGCCTCCTCCACTAGCACCAGCAGGTCAGGCTGCAGGCCTCAATGCGCCACCCCTCGATACGCTTTCCACGCTGCCACCTCCAGCCGCACGGATGGATGCGGTGGACCACAACCGGGCGACGCCCGCTGCCGCACCGACCATACCCGACCCTCTCTTCGCGGACCCCAACGCATGGCTCCCGGCAGTACTGCGCCAGCGTATCCCGATCCTCATCACCACCTACCGCGCTCTGCAGACGGCGATGGAGGTGGTGGGCGGGAAAGCTTCCGCGCTGCCGCCGCTCGAGCACGTCCGCGTTGCCGGCCTCACCAACTTCGAAAGGGCGTTGGACCCCCAAATGAAGAAGAACTTCAGCCACGCCTGGTGGGTGTCCCTGGTGAACGCGCTCGATGTGGAGTGCCAGTTCATGGTCACCGCCGAGCGCAACGGGGCGGAGGTGATGGGCTTGTTGAGCAGCACTATCCTCCCCGACGCTGGCGAGAACCTGCTGCACGTGGAGCAGCGCGATGCTTCGATTTGGGCGCTGATGGACGTGCAGGTGTACCCGGTGCCGGTGGAGGCTGCAGCAGCGGCGGTGGCAGTGCCCGACGACGGGGGCACCGGGGCGGCGAAGGAGCGACGACCAAAAATATCCGGCGAAGACATCGACGCAGCGAAGCTGACGCACCTCTTCTCGCTCATACTCGAACACATGTCCACCAACACGCCAGTGGTGGTGGCCGCTCGCGAAGCAGAAGCAGAAGCAGAGGGGGCGGGGGGAAGCAGCAGCGGTAGGAGCAACCGTCACAGCTGGAAAGGAGCGCGGGTGGTGGTGGTCAGCAGCAACCGCCGAGAGCAGTCTCTCATTCTCACGCAGCTAAGTCGTCTCCTCCGCGAACCGCATCAGCAGGACGCGCGGGCCGGTCTTCTCCGCCTCACCGACTCCGCCGAGATGTTCCGACAGGGTGGCGCGGAGGTGCTGGTGCTGACGGATGCCCAGTTAACCGACGCGCGGGTACTGCGTGATCTCCATCAGTGCACGGACGTAGACTTGCTGCTGCACTTCTCGCTTCCTCGTCAGGTGATGCTGCAGCTGGAGAAGCAGGAGATTGCGGAGGTGCTGGCGCAGCGCGGGCGTGCCGTTTTGGGTCACTCGAAACCGTTTTGCAGTCGACGGTGGTGGCGCTCGTTGGAGGCAGGTGCCGTCTCTCCCGGCTCTTCTTCCTCAGCATTTGTACCCGTGAAGGCTGCGTGCCGGGTGATGCTGACGGAGCACAACATGAAGGGCCGCGTCGGCACGGTTGTGTTGGAGCTGCTGAGCGAAGTGAGCGATCCGTAGCGAAGGTGATGGCGCCTTGGGTATACGGTGAGTATGTGGTGGTGGTGGTGGTGGTGGCGGTGGCGATACTGAAGTGATTTAACTTTTTTGTTTTTCGTTGTAAAGATAAGGGAATGGCTGCACAGCAGTAGCAACAGCAGAGAACTCGATGGCCTTTACGCTCTCTCTTTAAAGAAATCGTGTAGGGGTGGGGTGCAAGGTGAAGCCCTAAACGGTAGGAATGTTTTGTGCCGCACACGCGCACAAGTCTCCCTGTTCGCGTATCCTGCCTTGTATGTATGTACCTCTCCGCCGTTGCTTTCTCTCCTCCTTTTCTTTGTAAAATATTATTTCCTGTCGTTCTTTTCCGCTCTCTGCTTTTCTATCAAATATTGAAAACGTATACATTCAATTTTCGTTCTACGTAGATTCACTCGTTGAGTTTTAAACGACTTCAACTCCCACACGTTGCTCACCACGCCTTCACTTTCTCGTTCAAGCATCAAATACACAGCTATACATCTCTCTCTCTCAACTGCTTTGGTGACTTCCGTTAACTCGATACCAATCCTCTCTGTTTCTACTTCCTTTTACACCATTTCATTTACCCCCGCCCCCCAATTGGGAAAAACACAACTGCATTTACGCAAGACACACACACATACCAACAAGCAGAGCAATGTCGTGCGCTTACCGCGTGTTTGTGCTCACCGTTCTGATGCTGCTGACGGCGTGCGCCACCTGCGCGAACCTCTTCGCTATCTTCCGTAAGCCGCAGCTCACGGTGGCCGGCGTCACGACGAGGGACAGCTACTACTACTGGTACTCCGAGCTCTCCGCCGTCGGCCCGATCGAGACGAACACGCGGCGCATCTACTCCCGCGACTTCGAGTGCGAGGCGGAGAAGAACTACTTCATCGCGTCGGCCGCGCTGGCGGTCGGGGGCGCCGGCCTTGGCGGTCTGGCGTGCGTGTTCATGGCCTGCTGGGTCAGCGCCGGCCGCCGCGTCGCCCTCGGTGTGGTGAGCCTTCTTCTCACCTTCTTCGCCTTTGCGTGCTGCGTCGTGGTGGTGAGCCTAACGTCCTACCTCTTCGTGAATGCCCAGTGCAAGGACGGCGCGGCGGACAAGAAGACCTTCGAGCAGCAGGACTACATGCTGGTGGAGGGGTTCATCCTCATGGCGGTGGCAGCCGGCGGCTTCTTGATTATGCTGTTTGTGCAGCTCATCGGTCTCTGCTGCATGTGCTGCTGCAACGGCGACAACTACGACGACGTGTCACGCGGCTTCAGCAGCCACTCCTCCAAGTCCAGCTCGCGCAGCGGGAGCTTCAGCCGCAACACCTCTCGCGGCGGCTCGTACCGCCACTAGACAAGCGGAGAGAAAAGAGAATGATATTAATAATAAAAAGGAATGATAGTAAAAGGAAAGAGAACCGTTTGCGAAGAGAGCAAGCGAGTGCCTCGTTGGTGGAAGGACGAGCGAAGACGACAGCGGAGTGTCGAGGGATCGCTGAGGAACTCGCGTTTTGCGTTTTGGCGATGCTTCATCCTTTTCATGCCTTTTCCCAGCTTTTTCGTGTTTGCTTTTAGTGTTCGGGGAGAAAAACAAGAAGAGAAAAACGCCTTTGCGGATCGTACTCGCCGTCCTGCTCCCCCGTTCTTCTTCTCCTCTCGTTTCCAAGTGTATTTCGTGCTCTCTCGTTTCTCTTTCTGTTCCGTCGGATTACTGCCGTGAAGGATAGATTCCCTCTGTTTCCTCTGCTTCCATAAGTAACAACAAGCAATGGCACGTCTGTACCAGTACATAAGGACAAGCGTGGAGCAGGGGAAGCCAAACATAAAAGGTTTGTGAGGAGCGACGAGAGGAGAGCGAAGGGAGAAGCCAGCGATTCTTTCTTATGTGGCTCTCAGCCGAACTCAAAGGAAAATCAATAGAAAGAACAACGGTGACAATGCACTGCATTGAAGGAACGAAATCCGTTATAAACACGAGTGCACGTGCCACGCCAGTCGTTCTCTTCTCCTCGTACGTAAGTTCGTTTCTGCCCTGTTTTTCTTCCTTCTTCTCTCTCTTCTCGCCCTTGTGAGGATTCTATATAAATATATTAAAAGGACGCCTCATTTTTTTCCTCTTCATTCCAATCCTTTTTATCTTTTTCTTGCTGGTGGTGTCGAAACGTGTGTTTTACGAGTAAGCGTTCTCTTCTCTTCTCTTCTTTCTCTTTATTTATTTTCCTTTATTTTAGACCTGATTTTGTTGCTGATTTACGAAGCTGGACGAGAAACTAGAACTACATTAAAAGGCGTGCCCGCACGTATTCGTTTTCTTTTTTATTTTCTTTTAACTGTACAGCTGCACATGCTTTACCGCTGGCACGTTGGGTGCGCGGTTGTAGTGGCGAGTGACGTATACATTCCCTCACGAAAAACAAGCAGGAAAAAAAAGGCAGGTGAGTGAGTTTGTTTTTGATCATGAAAAGATGGATATTGAAGAAGAAGAAAAGTGGCTGTAAAATTATTCCATACAGGACAAAGGGGAAGTCGGGTTCTCTGCTTTGCATTTCATTTCATTTCTTGTTTTTTTTTTCCCCACTGGTTTTCATCCGGCGGCTTTGATTTGAGAGAAACAGACAGAAGATTGTGAATGCTGAGGAGAGTGTTTTATGTCGGGCGAAGCGCATTCACTGCTGATTCCACCAAAAGCGAAATGAGTAAATACATATTTTCGATAACGGAAGATAGGAAACATAGTTATGATAAAGAAAGAAAAAAGGAACCAAATGAAAACGTCAGCAGAATAAAGCAGTTTGAGGTGTATGAGGTGCGTGTGCTGGAGCGACAGATGCGCGGAGAGGCAGAGGCAATCATGTCACCAACAGAGGAAGAAGATGCACCTCCTTTTCTCTTCGTCTGGGTGCCTTCTCATTTTTTATAACATATAAAAGAATATATTTTCTGTAGTGCTGTGCTGACGTGTTACGTGAGGCAAAACGTACTCGTGAGGCTGCAACTAACAAACTATCTTTCTAGCATCGTATATTTGTTTTATATATTTATATATATATATATATATATTTGTTGGTTCTTTGGCGAGAGAGCGCGCGCAGGACTGTTTTGGTTCTTTTCATTTTTTCCATATTTGTGTGTAGAGAGGAGTTTCGATTTAATTCGCCATTAAAATAGTAACGGAATATGTATGTGCATATATATGACAATATATATATTTCTCCTGTTCGGCATTTCTGATTTTCCAAACGCTGAATAAGCAGCATCGGTTTTTATCCCTCGCAGAAAAAAAGAAGAAAAGGACGACAAGAAGGAAGAGAGAAACGGGTGAACGGCGGTGCGTCACTCCTCTCTCTCTCTCCCTCTCTGTTGTTGTTTCTGTTTTCGTATTCTTCTTTTGGAAAATCTGCGCTGTTGTGAAGGCGTAACGTCTGGGTGCAGAGGGCGAAGGAACAACAAACGCATACACGCAGATATTGTTTTTTTTTTCCCTTTTCTACCCCCTCTTTGGCTTCCTCACTTACTCCCCTTCTTCTGGAGATTTGACAAACTCACGCTGCGCAGCATTCCGAACTTAACGCATTAATATATATATATATATATATAAACCCAAGTCGCAGAAAAGCTCGCCTTTGTCGTTCCGTAATCACGCGAGGTGCGTCCTTAAAGATTCGCTGACAGCTTATGCCTGTTTGTTCAAAATCAAGAAAGATATTCCTCTTTTATAACTTTTTCTAAATCAGGGATGTCTGCTTGTCCCTTTCCCCGTTTTTGATTTATGGACTTTGTCTCCTCCCTTCACTTGCGTGTGACGCTTGTTTTGTCTTTCTTTAACTGTTCTTTTTTTTTTTCTCTCCTATCGCGTGACATGAGCGCCCTGGAGCGCCTACGTGTCTCCTTTGTTGTCGATGATGCAGTCGTCATCTGTCTTCATTAACCGAAAAACGCGTTAAGAGAAAAAAATGCCCTTTCTTCTTCTTGTAGTTTTCGACTGTTCGTGGAACCGGATTATTTGGCTTCCCTCATTGTTCTACTTCGTTCGCCTTGTGCCAAAATTGGGGTGTGCTAAGAATTTTTTTTGCTTGAAAAGAAATATATGCCTTTTGCTGTTTTCTACGATTATCCTGCGCGTGGACGTCGCTCGTGTTTGTTGTTTGTTTGCTTTCTTGTTACCGTGTTTGGTTTGGCGAATCGGCGCAACTACTTCTCTCTCTCTCTCACACTATAAGAATGTTTCTTTTGTTTTTTTTCTTCCTTTTTATATTCGTCTGACTGACGATAACACGTGCTTCGCGTACACCACCACCACCAACAATGCGAGTAAGAAGGGTCACGAATATGAGCAAAGAACGACCTTTGCGGGTTACATCGTGGCGTTGCTCCTTTCTACTGCGCGTCGGCGCCTCCCACTGCTGCCCGAGGTGGCCGCCGCCGTCCCGTACCTCTTTTCTCTTGTTCCTTACTCACGCATGGTGGAGAGCGCAACTACAGGAAAACCAAGAAAGGTGCACCGATGCGTGTACGCACACAGAGCTGCGTGTTCGCTCGCTTTCTCCGTTGTAGTGGGACGCTCGCAGGGTTGGGGAACTGCGCGGAAAGAAGAAAGAAAGAAAGGAAAAAGGAGAAGAGCCGGGAAGGTAAGTCGGCACATGGCCTTTTCCATCAGGCATCGAGACGCGCATACGCCAGTCTTCTCTACCCAACATTGAGCGCGTCGGAAACGACAAACACAAGGAGGATTGTCCACTCTCCCCTTCACGAGTTCCGCTCTTTCACTCCTTTTCTTCTCTTTTTATATTCTTGTGCTGCTCGCTTCTGCCGCATTCGGGCACTCGACACGTCTGTCCAGAGGAAGCCTGCGACCTCTCTTGGTAACTACCCTGTCTGCTTCTCGTGTTTTGTCTGCTTCCTGTCGCATTCGTCCCACATCCGCTGCGTTACCGCTTTATTATTGTTTCTTCTTCCTCCGTTGCCAGTCAAGAGGAAAGGTACATCTCTTTATTACGCACCTAATCGCGGGAGAGCTCTTCCAAAATAAATTATTAACCATCACAACACCGGTGGGTAAAGGTAGCGATATCAAAAGAGCAAGAATATAGAAGCTTAGGCAAACCAACCAACCAACAAACGAACCAAACATGTCGTTCAAGTGCTGTTACCGCGTTCTCGTTTGCATTTTGCTAGTGGGGCTGACCATCTGCACCGTCATCTCCGTCGTCACGCCGCTCTACGCACGCACCGTCACGAACAGCGACAGCGGCACGACAATCCTCACGCTGAGCCTGGCAAAGATCGACAACGTCACCACCACCGCGGCTGGCAATGTCACCAAGACAAGTACGCGCACTCGCAACCTTGAGTGCGATCGAGCGAAATCGCTCTACGTAGCCTCCTACGCGCTCGCCATCGTCGCGGTGGTCTTCGGCGGCGTCAACGTGTTCTTCGCACTTGTGTGGACCATGGCTCCCTGCGGATTCCCATTAGGTGCCGTTGTCTTCTCGCTGACGTTGCTTGCCTTTGCGTGCTCTTTTGTTCCCTTCATCCTTACCGCCTATCTCGTCACGCACGCCCTCTGCCCCGATGCGATGTCCACGGCGATCGCCAATAGCGAAGAGGGCACCATGAATGTGAAGCACGGCTTCATTCTTCTTTTGGTGTCCTTTGCGGGCCTGCTTTTGACCTTCCTTATACAGGTTGGTGGGTGCATGTGCGGGTGGCAGCTGGAGCGGCCGACGACGGCCGACTCGCGCCAGACGACGGTCGAGGACTTGTATCGCGTCGGCACGTTTACCAACCGCAGCGGGTACCAGAGCTCGCCGATGAGCACCATTTCTGTGAAGAAGTGAAGATGCCGCCGGTGTGGAAGGCGAACAAGTGAGTATCTACATACACGCACATACGACATAAACGAATGGAACAAAAGAAGATGCATATATATATATATGTAAAGAGGTGGAGAGGTGGTGCTTCGACCTGCTGTCTTCCTTTTTCTCACGGTCGCCTACTTCTTTTTTTAGAAGCTTTTTTTTTGGTTTCTCCCCCTTTCCGTCTATTCGCGAACGGGACCCCCGGCGTAGTGTTCAGGTGCGGCCAGCCGAGCCAATCTCCGTCCACTCACCATAACAGACAGAAAGAAAAAAAGTGGGTCAACAAAAGATAAGAAGCACCGGCTGCAAAGGTAACAACGAAGAATTCTTCTAGGCTTTTCTTTTCTATAATATCAGCAATTAATGCTGGCTTCCTCTTCATTGCGTGCTCCCGCCCTTGTCGGGTTCATTTGAGTGTCTTTGCTCTTTTCAAAGAAATGAGATTATGTGTCCTGTTTTTTTTTTTCTGAGAGCTTGCGCCAGGAAAAACTCGCCGGGAGATGAATCGAAAGCTTCATGTTGTACTACTAGCCCTTTCTCCTTCTCTCCCCTCCAGTCGACCTCTCTCCAGGAAAGGCTTTTTTTCTGTTTTCCCACCGTCCCGCCCCTTTTCCAACCCCACGAGGTGGAAATGCAGACGATCTGAGTCTGCAAGAAACTCCCTTTCGTAAAGTTCTCATTGGTTCAAAAATAAATACAAAAAGAAAACAACGCCGTCTACCCTTAAAGGAAAATGAAAACGATCCAGGGATGTAACGACACTGTTTTGCACTGTGTTGTTCTTTCTCCTTTCTCCTTTCTTCTTCCTTCCTTCCTGATCTGAGAGTAGTCGACTAGTGTTTTTCTATTCCTTCTTCTCATTTTTTATTCTTTCCTCAGCGCGTTGCAGCTCACGGAGAACGTGGCGGAGTGTGCGTCCTGGCGGCAGTGCAATTCCTATTACCTATTGACAGTTCAACGCTATGCTGTCTTATTTTTGCATTTTATTTTTTTCTTCTGCTGATGCCAGAAGAACCCACACGTAGAAATGACGAGCACCGATGTTTTCTTTCCTGAAGTTTTGTTTCTGTTTCTGCCTCTTTTCTTCTCTTTTTCTTCCAAAATCATTTTTACAATTTCCTTTTTTTTTTTGTTAGGCCACAGAAGTGTTCGGGCGGCACGTGCTTCTAGCTGGTGCACATTCTCTCTGTCTCTGCACGCATAGGCGGGATCCACCTGACGGTTAACTGCTTTATGCTAAGCTAGTACACATTTTACGTACACGTATAACTGTATCCCTATCCCCGGCTGCATGTTATATAAGATGATGTCGCTCAGTGAGCGAGGGTGTTTTATTTTTTTTTGAGCTTGCGAAAGGAATGATCGAATGTGAATTACGGTTTGAATAGAATCTAAGTAAATATCATCTTCGGGGTTTTCTTTCTACTTTCTTCTCCTTTTCCACGGACAGTCTTCGACTTCCGCCTTGTTCTCTCTTCTGTTCGTTTTCCCGCCCACCCAGGCCCACTCCGCCCCGCTTTGAGGGCGGACTAATCTTGTTTTGAAGTCTGCCACTGCGTTAGTCTTGGTTCCCGTTCCACGTGAAAAAGACACTAATAAATCAATCAATATGATATGTTGCTGTCTTTCAAAAACTAATGTTGTTGTAAATGACCCCGAGTGATCGTGAGGGTCGTGGTTTATCCCTGTACTGAACATAGAAGTTAATGGAGAGGGAAAACAGAGCGTATCTAAATCAAAATGACATCATCGCCGAGTTCCTGTTTTTTTTTTGGGTATCAACTTGTCTTCCTCCTCTCTCCCTTTGTCATTTTCGCTGTGATGGTCGTGCTCGCTAAAACAGCCACAACTTCCACTACAATAACAGTACTAAAAGCGCACGCACATTGGTAGAAATAAGAAAGGAGCTCTCTTTCTTCTCCTCCAATCACCGCGCAACCCTTCAACGTAACCAACAACATATTCCGTCCGTACTGCTCGTTCATCGCACGGAGAGCAGAAATCTGCAATCGCAGCACCGTTGCATTGGCGTGCTCGAACAATTCGCCTCGCCGACAAATCCCCCCCCCCCTTCTAAAAAAAGTGTTGTTGTGGTTAGTTTCATTCTTTCACGCACGTTGCGTAACTTCTCATAAAATTCTAAAGAAAAAGAAGGAGTAAAAGCACGGAGACAAAGAGGCGAGAGGGGAAAGCCGTCTTGCTTAAAAAACACACACACACACACACACCCTTCTCTTGCAGAATCAACGCAGAACAGAAGGCCTCAACACCCCTCCGAGCGACACGATGATTTGCACTCGTGTGCTGCTCTGCATCCTCATGATGCTCTTCACCGCGTGCGGCGTCTGTGCGGCTCTCTTCCCCCTCATGCGGAGGACCGGCCGCGACGACGCTTCCCACAAGGTGAAGTACGAAGTCTATCTCTGGTACACGGAGTCGAAGTACACCGACGCCAAGACGCACGTCTACGAACGCATCTATCACCGACAACGCAACTGCGGTGAGTTCCGCACCGCTGCTGTGGCCGGTGCGGCGCTGGACGTGGTGGGCTGCGGCGTCGGCGCCATCGCCTGCATCCTCGCCGCGGTGCACATCTGCGCCCGCGTGAAGTTCCACCTGTGCTGCACGCTGATGGTGCTGTGCTTTGTGGCCTTTGCCACCTTGGTCGCTTCCCTCGCGACAGTAGTCTTCACCTTCCGCGGAGACTCGTGTCCGAACGACACCGCGAACGCCATGAGGAGCTTTCACGGCCAGGATTACAAGCTAGTCGAGGGCTTTATTCTGCTGTGCATTGCGGCCGGTGGATTCTTCATCACGACGTTCCTCGAGATGCTCAGTTAGGAAGGGACGAAGGGAGAAAAAGAAAATCGAGACAAGCATCCTAAGCGGTTGTTTGTTTGGTAGAAGATTCTTCTTTTTGCTGCTTCCTTCAGGCTGCAGTGGCGATACAATGTACCCACGTGGAATTCAGCTCTGCTGACTAGCGCACACCTAGGAGCTTGCGATGTCAACATCCGATTTTGTGATGATGGTGCTGCCGACTTCCTTGCCTTCTCTGCGTTCCTTATATATATCCACATATATGCATTTGTGTGTTTGGGCTGCTCGCAGGGGCGGAGCCATGCAGTGCAACTGGTAAGTTCAGGAGAGCTAGTCCCACAGGAGCCAAGTCAAGTAACGAGATGTGTAACATGAGAAAGATGGCATTGTCCCGAGAGAAGCTGCCCTCGCTCCCTCACTGCCGGAGCGTCGCTGCAAAGACGTTTTTTTCCCCCCTTTGTCTGCGCTTTTGTTTCTTTTGCTCTATTTTTTCGGTGTTGTGTCAGCGCCACTGCGTGCTCATCTGTGCTCATAAAACTGTCACTGCTTTTGCACGAGAACGGTGAGGCCAGTTGTTGTTGTTATTATTTTTTTGAATATATATATATATATTTGCTACCACTCTCTCCTTCCTTTTTTTTGGTTCCTGCCTTTTCGCATTCGTATTATTATTAATATTATTATTTGTTTTACTCTCAGCGCTGATTTCAGAATACATGGGTGCAACCTTCGCTGTCTTTCGAGTAACAGGCTGCCCCGTCACACAGGGGCGTGCACGTAGACGCAGTAAAGGTGGCGCACCTGCACACAGACCGTGTCGTTTGGCGTAGTGCCACGTACCCCTCCCCTTCCCTGTTTTCTAAAGTACTAAAAGAGTAAGAAAAAAGACCTTTCTTTTCTGCGCTCCATTCGGTGCTCTCGTATTGAATGAAGGATACTAGTAAACGAGAGTGTAAGTGACTCATGTCTTGCACATAACTTCATCACGGAGAAGCAAGAAGAAGAAGATGATGATTCCCTCCTTTTATTATTCATTGTTTCCCGCCTGAAGGCCTCCTCCAGTTTCGTTGAGTAAACTATATTTTTTTAAATGCTAGACTTCTTTTTCTTATTTTGTCCTTCACGTTTAGGTGCACCTGTGCCCATCTACCACTGGCGGAAAACAACAACAACAACCGCAAAGCAGGAAACCTTTCTGTTTTTTTTTTTTTTAAAGTACACAAAGACACATCGCAGTTGCAGGAAAACCGTTGTAGATCAAGCCACTGGCTTTTATTAATCCAACCTTCTTCGCCTTACGTTGATAGATAAGGATATATATACGTTTTTCTCTTTTCCGTTTTGTGGAGTTAGAGCGCTGTGCTGCATCTCCTGTTTCAGGTGTTTCTACGCGGCAGTTATTTTCTCTAAGAGTTTTCTCTGAGATGAACTCTCCCGCATGCCATTCTTGCGAGTTTTTTTTTCTTCTTCTTTGGTTTCCGTGCTTTCGTTTTCAACTGTTTTCTACGCCATTACTCCCTTTACTGGTTCTTTCCTCTCCTTTCTTATACCACTTTCTCACGGAGATAAATATATAACAGCACCCCTGCCCTTAACATGAGCATTTTACGGGTCAAGAATACGGCGCACGCGGCTATTATGTGCTCATGCTTTCTTTCTCTCTTTCCCTTTTTTATTCCTATTACCATATATATACTTTTTAAAGCTGGCCTCCTACCTCTCCCCTCCCCCCTCCAATGCTGGCCGATGAACCGCCTCCAGCGTAGCTTCTCCACATCGTTGTGCTTTCCTTTTTTTTTTGCGAAGAGACAAATAGCAGCAGTAATAATAATAGCAAGGACAAGAATACTTGAAAGGCTGCTTTCAGCCATGAAAGCCGGGTGAAGTGCTGTTTTTTATTTTAAAGAAAATAATGACATAATATATCCTCTTTGAGTGATGCAGAGCAGAGCGAAGAAAAGAAGAGGTCGCCCTCGTTACTACACGTTTATGTATCTATTCGCTTCACCGATGCAACACCTCATGGGCGCGACCCACGTTGCGTCTCTGCGAAGCTTCTCGTTTCGAGGAGTACTTGCCGTATTTGTTTTCCCCTCATGCCTCCCCTCTCTCATCCTCTCACTCCGAATCCTTCTACCCCATCTGCTCCACACTGTACTCCGGTCCCTCCCTCCCTCCCTCTTTCTTTGAATAATCTAATACTGTGTTCTGACCCTTCTCTTCTCTCTCGTCCCC